TTTTTGAGTGGGTTTATTGCTGACACTATTGACTGACTTCAGATAACCTAGCTTTCAGATTTCATATGCATTATTACAAAAGTATGAATAACTGAATGTATTCTCTGTAGAGGTAACTTAATGTGAAATCCTGTCATTGCTTCTGGCCCATAGAATAGTCTGCCCCCTGTGGGGAGAGATTCTTTCATATTAAATCTCTAGATAAGTCACTAATTTTCCATTGTCATTGTAGAAATTCACTTCCTGTAAGTGACAAAAGATTTTTTTTTCTTTTTTCTTTTTTTGTCTTCCTTTTAGGACACTGGTAACCTCTTGCATTGTGAAAGAGTACTGGCAGAAGGGTGAAAAATGGGTGTAAAAACATTTACTCATAACTCGCCTGCCCACAGCCAGGAGATGCTTGGCAAGTTAAACATGCTTCGCAATGATGGGCATTTCTGCGACATCACCATTCGTGTGCAGGACAAAATCTTCAGGGCACATAAGGTGGTTTTGGCAGCCTGCAGTGACTTCTTTCGCTCCAAGCTTGTTGGTCAAGCAGAAGATGACAGCAAGAGTGTGTTAGACTTGCATCATGTGACAGTAACTGGCTTTATACCCCTTCTGGAATATGCATACACAGCAACACTATCTATTAACACAGAAAATATTATCGATGTGTTGGCTGCGGCCAGCTATATGCAGATGTTCAGTGTTGCCAGCACATGTTCAGAGTTCATGAAGTCAAGCATTTTATGGAATACACCCAACAGCCAGCAAGAAAAGGTGCTTGATGGAGGACAAGAAAGCAGTGCAAACTGCAATTTTGCCTCTCGAGATGGCAGCCTTTCTCCAGTTTCCTCCGAATGCAGCGTGGTGGAAAGAACCATTCCCGTGTGCCGAGAGTCCCGAAGAAAACGTAAAAGCTACATAGTCATGTCTCCTGAGAGTCCACTTAAGTGTAACACACAGACAAATTCCCCACAAGTGCTGAATCCTTCAGCTTCCTACCCAGAGTCCAGAAATCAGCCTGTAGACTCTTCCTTAGCTTTTCCTTGGACTTTTCCTTTTGGAATTGATCGAAGACTTCAGTCTGACAAGGTGAAGCAAGTAGAGAATTCTAGGACTTTAGAAATGCCTGGTCCATCTGAGGCAGCCAGAAGAATTACTGATTATGTGACTTGTGAGAGCACAAAGGCCAGTTCACCTCTTGTGATTGAAGAAGATGTGCGTGTCAAAGTGGAAAGGTTAAGTGATGAGGAGGTTCATGAGGAAGTGTCACAGCCTGTCAGTGCATCCCAGAGCTCTCTGAGTGATCAACAGACAGTCCCTGGAAGTGAACAGGTTCAGGAAGATCTCCTGATCAGCCCGCAGTCTTCCTCTATAGGTATAGTCACTTTTTTAATATAAATCTATGTACACAAATGCACATGTAGATGTGATTTGATTTGAGGAAGTCACTTGACTCTGTTAGATCACTGTAGTTTAGTTAAACTGTATTTTGGCACTCTGAGTTCTGATAGGCACTAGTGCAGTGGGGGCCAACCTTTTTCTTGAGCAAATTAGCCTCATGCCCATTCCAAGTACCACTCCAGTCCTCTTCTGTCTGATCTGCTCTGTTTCCTGCCCTGGGCGCTCTACCCGATCTGCTGCGTGCTACACAGACTGCCCATGCCACTTGTGGCACTTATACTACAGGTTGTGCATTTAAGTATTTTTTTCAAATGAATATTCTGTTTGTAACAGTATCAAATGTTTTGACTAGAGTCCATCCAAATGCCATGATGGGTAGACTGCTGTTTTTAGTATAGTAACAGTAGGTGTTGAGGGGTAATATGGTGCCTTTAAAATAAGGTAAGGCCTTGTGTCAATGTATGTACAGTGGTGACTGTTCTTATAATAAGTCGCCAAATAAATGTCAGAAATTTTTCATTTTAACACCCCAGACAAAAACAAGAGTGCTGTCATATCATTCCAGTTCTGTGGGGTTTAATCACAAATCCCAGTCCTTGTGCTACACAAAGCTGAAAGTAACCTTTTTTCATGAAAGACAGTTTGAAGCTGTTTTTGGGTGCCTCTAGTGGGCTGTTGGCTATTAATAGTTCACATGTAGAGGTTGTCATTGTAGCAATCCAGTTCTCTCTCTCAATAAGTCAAAGGACAGACAATTTGTAATGTTCCTAGTATGGTTGCCAGAGTTGCACAGATCATCTATTTAGTTCTGTATTAGTGGATTGACTTGAGCTGAATATGACATTTGTTTATTAAAGGATTAGGTCAGTAAATTCTGGTTTATTTGAAAACCTTGAGTTGAAAATTCTTTGATTCTGCATGATTCAAACAACATAAATGTTAAATGCTGTCAATAAGATTCTCAGGGTAGCCCTGTACTCTAACTCTACCTTAAAGTTTTTGTCCGGTGTCATGCCTTCATTGGAGAGAGTAGGAACTGATATTTCCTCCTTGGAAGGGTGAGATGTGTGACCACTGTAAGCATACTGTTTCCTTTATACCATTGCTTTAAGGAAACAGGAACTTTATTCAGTACATGTTAGCATGTGCTTCAGTACTTTTCTGTAATACTATTTTTGTGTATTATTTTGAATGGTTTATGTGTTGACGTCTTATAATGGTAACACTTTTGTCCAAACTCAAGTGTGTTACTTGCCTTGGACTTTACAGGCATTGGTTTTGTGAGTCCTCTGGGCAGTATGTACAAACAGAGGAGTGTGCGATCAGTCTAAATAAACACTGTTAATTTTCTTGTACTTAATTTGCAAAAGAATTTTGTGTGTAGTTCATAAATTAAAGGGAGAGAAGACGTTTTTTTCTGGGAAGCTGCCAAAAAAAACATACTTGTTCACTGAATTGCTGCAATTTGACCCCAGGCCTTTACTCGTTACTGCAGTAACTTGGAAAAGAAATTGGTAAAGACATGAGATCAATGGTGCAAGTCATTAAATGAACATAACACTAGTAGGAAACCATATCGCTGTATCACTAAGAAAAATGTAAACTGCAACAAACAAAATTGGACAAGTCACAGGAAGCAGTCGGGGAAGGGGAAAGCCTACAGGTGCAGCTAAAAAGAGGGAGTTTTACTGTTTTCTGTTCACCATATCCAGGTACTCTGAAATAATAAACTATACCAAGTCAAGATCTAAAGGAAACAGTATAATCTATTTCTGAACAGTTTCAGGGGAAAGGGATGTATTTAGATGCCATCTGTTTTAAAACAAGCAAAAATAGTAGTGTCAGAAAAATGTGCATCCAGCTTGAAGACAACTGTTTTTATCGTAACCCAGTAGCAGGAATGAGAACAAAAGAGTGAAACCAGGACTAGATCATAGAGAAAGGGACTCCAAGGAGTAATATAACAATTCCTTTTTAAGGGGATGCTGAAATTGAACAAAAAAATCCATGGAAACATTGGCCCGCGATCAGATTCTTACTGGGTGCACTTGAATTCCTTCCCCTGCTAAAGATTGCTATAGTCTAGTGATTCTCAACCAGGCTGCAGTGACATCCTGGGGTGTTTGAGATCCTTTCAAGGGTGCTGCATGCTGCCCTGCAGTGTTAGCACTGCTAGGCTTGCATACATGATTCACAGGGTAAACCTAAAGATGTCAATTAGGAATGCATAGTAGGAGTGTAAGCGTTGTTTAAAAAATTGCCTGTTTGACCTCCTGTAATTATATTGGTTAAAAGGTCTTGCGGCAGAAGGAGCAGTGCAGTCCCTTCCTTTCCCGATGAAACCAGCAGCTGGGCCAGCGCTGTATTCCTCCTTCTTGACTGAGGGCTTGCCCTAATGCCACTGCTCCTAGCAGAGGGCACTCGGCCCACAGGTGGATGCTGCAGGTGTGATCCTGCGTGGCACGTCTGTCCACCACACCCCCCCAGTCTGGAAGAACCACTGTGGGTCGTTGCAGAGTGGCAGCTGCCAGAGCTTAGGGGGTGGGAGGGAGGCACTGCTCACAGTTCTGGGTGCCTGCAAACTAGAGGCACTGCCTGGGGATGGCATGACACAACTGTCCTGACAGGTGGGAGTGCCTGTGGGTGCTATGAAAGGGGGGGTGCCTGGCTTCATGCAGCCCACCCCTGCAGCACATGATGGCAGCCCAACCACTGCACCTGCTCCTACTGAAGACCTGCTGGCTCCTCTGTGCAACTTTGCCCAGCTCCACTCCCCCAGGTAACTGCTAGTTCCCTCATTGCCATGGCAGCCGTGCAGTGCCACAGCCCAGATCCACACTGCCTTCTGGGCTGCCATTGCCAAAGCTACTTCCCTAACAGCAGGCAGCACTGAGCCAGGGGAGGGAAGGGGAGGGTGTAAACGTTAAACAGTAGGGGTGTGTGAAGCAGGCCCTATTCATTTCAGATTCAGCCCGAAGTTGATTTGGATCGCTGTCCCTGATTCAATTTGGCCAAATCCGAATCTGACTATTAGATGCTGATTTGGAGAATCAACGATTTGGCCATAGACACAGCTTTAAATGTTTTTCCTACGTACCTTGAGGTACCAGTGTGGCTTGTGATCACTGTGATGCTGGGGTACATGAAGCATCCCACAGGAGTGTGGGGGGGCCCTCCGCATGCTTGGTGGCAAAGCCAGAAGTGGACTGGAAGTACTTCCGGTCCACTTTCGGGTCCACCAGGGAGCACACTGGGGGTCCCCCCCACACCTCCCCCACTCAGTGATTGGCTGCAGGGGAACCCCCCAGACCCAGGAGGCACCAGTCACCGAGTGGGGGGAGGAGAGCTTCTGATCCACCTCCGGGTCTGCAGCTGAGCGTGCTGGGGAGCCCCCCCACACTTCTGTGGGATGTTCCATGCACCCCACCATCGCAGCACTCACAAACCCCTGCTACCTAGAGGTATGTGGGGAAAAAAAACACGTAAAGTTGTGTCTGTGTCCAAATCACTGAATCTTTCCAAATCTCTCCGATTTGATTTGGAGAGATTAAAGGGTCCTCTGATTCGAGTTAGATTCGGAGATTCGGTGGCCGAATCTTTGCCAAATCGAATCAGGGACCAAAGCTTCACACAGCCCTGTTGAACAGTATTAATATAATTACCATTTAATTGTTTACATCCCTAATCCATAGTGTCGAAAACATTCAGAACTGTTGTGTGTTTTTTGAGTTCTTTGCAACAGAAGAATTGCTTTATTATTTTTCTTTAGTCAAATAATGAGTAAAAACTAAGAGCTTCCTTTTTCTGAGGGTGTCTCAAGCCTATAAAGGGATTCCTTGACTGTAAAAAGTTTGAGAACCACTGCCCTAGTCAAGATTCATTACCTATAAAATGACATCTGCTGACGAGCAACTTTGCACACCCGGGTTCAAGGAAGTATTAGCTTGCAGTGATGTAGCTGTATAGTTGCTGGCATGTTTAATGTCTGCTGTGGCTGGGTTTTCTGTCACTGAGGGTAGGTGCCCCATTTATATTTATCCCACTAAGAAGGAGGAACTGTGTTTTGTTGAACACCATTTTGTTAACCAGACATAATGTTTAAAATTAAATGTCTGTAGAATTACATTTTGATCCAGTGTTTTACACCTTGAGAGCTGCAGACACAATGGAAAAAAATTGATCCAAGACCACAAAACAGAATTGCCTCTGAATTTACACTTAACTTTCTTTGCTCAGTGCTATTAAACATCCTGATTATAGGCCTGTTTTGCTATCTCCTAACAAAAGGCAAATTTCTTGCTCTAGAGCAGGATTTCCACTTTACCAGAACTACAGTAAACATAGTGGCAGCACAGGGCACACCAATGTCAATCCGCTTTTATTTCCTGAAGAGGTGTTGCCTTTTGCAGTAATATTACAGTAGTGAATGGGGTCAGAGGTGTGTTAAAATACAGCTTTCTTTTCCCTGAATACAGACATTTTTCCTTATAAAAATTACATATATTTATCTCAGTACTTTATAATGCATTTATAAAAGCTCTCCTGCCTGTCTTTCTGATATTGTAAAGAGCTCTTATTCACTGTTCAGGCAATTGCAAGAATCATTCATTTGCAGTTTATTATATTTGGTATCACTCAGTGCATGAGAGTACTTTATAATGCTAGAAAGACAAGCAGGAGAGCTTTATAAATAAGTCATTATGGTAGCAACGCTCGCTGTGTTTGAGAAGACATTTTCATAACTCCTTAAGATCAGTTCCATTACAGAGATAAGGGTATTGTATGAAAACTCCAAGAGCAAATATGCTTATTGTTGTGGTAGATTTTTGAGTCGGCTTTACCATGAAGGCGAAAAGTAAGCCAATATGAATCTCTCTATTTTTACAGATTGTATAACATCTAACTTCGCACCCCCAACAATAGCTCCAGTTTATTTTAAGTTGTACCATATCAGGGTTTTAAATTTGATGTGAAGAGCTTTATCTTCAGAAGGCTGTCAGAGATGACTCCCATCAGGTTTGTCTCCTTTTCATGAGTGGCGCTGCATCTTTCTTTTGGTTATCTGCCTACTTCCTTTCAGTCTCTTTTGTAAGCTTTCTTGGGACTTGTTTTTTCTAGTGTTATACTTCAGAGTGGATGGCTGTGGACCTACTCCCATTTAAGTCTGATGGAGGTTAGTCATCAGGTTCCACCCCCTGCCACTAAAGTCCTCTTCTCTCAAGCCATCTCCTAACGCCTGTCCCAGTAGTCAGTCTTTACAGAATCTCTTAAGTTCAAAAAAGTCAGTCTCTGCTGTGTGGTGGGGTGAAGGAGACACGGTGAACTCGACCTCTCTGGAGAACAAACTGCCAGCAGCACTCGGTATATGTGAGTGGTGGACGTGGAAAAATGAATTGCCTCCACTGAGGAAATACGACACAGGGTCTGGTCTCAGGTCATAAACTGCATAGCTTATCACAGAGAGATCTTTCTACTAGAGCAGTGATTCTCAGCTAGGGTGCTGCAGGGAACTTATGATTTAAAATATCTTTTAAATAGTAGGACTAAGCTCAGTAACAGGTTATATGTAATTGGACCATAAGCTGGTTCAGGATGCAGCACTTCCTAAAATATCTAAAGCCAGAAGACCAAACTGGCAAGGGGTACAGGATTTAAGATGTTCACTACTATAAAGTTTGAGTAGAGGAGTCCTGCAGCAGGGTGCATGGAGAATGATGCTGCAAAACAGTGACAGCTACTTGGTCTCGCAGAGCAAGGTCTCCCATTCAGCTCTGTGGTGTTTCTTTGTTTCCCGGATGCAGTGGAGGAATTTTGAAATGGCCCCTCTCTGCTTCTGGTGAAAATCAGAAAGCTGAAGGGGTGATGGGGTGGTGCCTCTTTACTTCCTTAGTGCACGGCACGTGCCACCTTTCCCTGGGGCTGTAACTTTTTCTCTAAGTCCAAAAGAATGTTTGATGGCAACCTTTAACATCTTCCACCTTAACATCTCCCACTTACATCTTGGCTTTGTCCATGGCCCCAGCATAATTTAAAAGACACCCTGAAATATTATTCCCAGTCAGAAATAATAAAAAAAAAAAATTGTTGGAGGAAATGGGGGCCCTGGAGGACATGGGGTACAGCAGACCTTGGCCAAGGAAGAAGAAAATATAGTTCTCTGCAATGGAAGGAAGAATTGCAAGCACAAAGCCCATGACAGGGAAGGAATTGAGGCATACAGAGAGAGCTGGCATTGGCCCAAGATTGGTGGTGGAGAGGGGGTAATTAAAGGATGCACATTGTCCCTGCCATAAGGAAAGGAGGGATTAAAAGACACAGGTCATCCCTGAAATAAAGAGCTCTGAGAAGATGGCCACAGAGAGCTTATTGGAAGGAATGGAGGAATGCAGAGTCCCGGGAAGTTCAGTGCACTTGTTCTGCAGATGCAGGTGTATGACCCCGACAGCATTACCAGGCAGGAGGAAGATCACCTCAACAGGGACCCTTCTGAGCAGCAGTTGAGTGTACAAGTGGAATGATGGTGTCAAGATTTGGTTTAGTGCTGAATTTGGACTAGATTTCATTTCCAAAGCTCATTTTAGCTAAATTTGCCAAGACATTGGCTGGAAGTCATAATGAGCCATTTTGTGTGCTTGCATCTCTCATTCAGTGACAGGTGGCTGGTATACTACTGTTTCATCTCCTTTGGATTGCATTTTTTAATTTGTCAAGGGCACCTAAAGCCTGGGATTGGCATTCTGTTAATAAAGCTATCATATGGCGAATGTGTAAGGCAGGGGAAATCAAGATGTAGAACAGCAGCAAGATTAAATTGGTCGTTAGATGGTGGAAATATATGGTGAAACACAGGTAAGTTTTACTCTAATTTAGCATTTTCTGCTTTACAGGTGTTAGTGCGGAAGAAATCATTGTCATTTATTGACACCCTTAATTGTGCGGTTATGCACCGTTTGTGTACGTTACTTCCGTTAAATTGCAAGTTGATGTTCTTTTTTTCCTTGCCCAGGTTCAATAGATGAGGGGGTCACTGAAGGATTACCCACACTCCAGAGTACCTCTGGCGCTAATACTCATGCAGATGATGATGATCGGTATGTACCCACATTGTGTGCAAACTGTTCTGCAGTAAGTGGTATGCTGTTGCTATAATTAACTTACCCAACTGTAATCCCTGAACGTTTAGCTGCTCATATGTACACTTTCTCTGTTGATCAAAGTACAGTCAGTGCCTGAAGCCGCAGATGCTTTAGAACAATGCAGGTGATGAAAGTTGATATTTACTTACCTGTTGCTCTTCATTTCCTATGTATTTCAGAAGTTTTCAACTTGAACTGGAGATGAGAGACAGATACCCATAGTCGTGTGCTATCTTCATCACTGTTCTTTATTAATAAGCAAGAAAAATGTCATTGAGAAACAGCTAAAGTTGCTTCATATGTTCTATATCTGACATAATGCCACAAAGCAACATGTGCATCTTAGCTTTTGCATGTAGAGGCACACATTTCACTATTTCTATAACTACCTTAAGGAACGTGACAGGACCCACAGCCTTTAACTTCCATTGACTATGTGGACTTACTACTTTTAGTTTATACGTGTGTAATATAGTAGTTTGGCAACTTACACCCCTGTAATATAGTGGTTTGTGTTTGAAATAGGAAGCTTGCTAAAAGGGGGTAAAGGAATCCTGGCATATGTAGGTGGGTTAAGTCAAGGTTATGTTTCATAGCTGGAAGTATATGAAATATTTATTAGAGAAGTCTGTAGCTCTCGGGGGAGTAGGGGTAAATTTAATGTTTTATGTCCTTGCTTTTGTGGCTATGTCAGGTATGGTATGCAGCTAGCTGTTCTGTTTCAAAATGAACCTTTTATTATGTCATCTTCCTAGTTTTTTACGTATTACTTAGGGGAGGAACTTTGGGCAAAGGAAGTGAACCATGGCTATGCTACAATCTGTTTTAGAGAGAAGGTTTTATCACTCAGCAGCTGTGTTTTTTCTAGTACATAAACCCTGTTGGCAGGTGCACATAGAGCCTCCTTCATTGTAGGATTACACCTAAAAGAAAATCAGAGCTGCTGAGAGAAGACTATGACAGAGAAGGCTGTATCCATTTGCTACCTTTAAGTGTGCAAATTTAATTATAAAATAACTATCACATATAGTTATGAGTAATAATAGCTAAGGATATAACCCCAATTCCTAAGTATTCTTTTTTTAAACTACTTGTTAAATCCCAAATAGATCCGTTATATCTGCACCAGTAGTAGAAAAAAGATACCAGGTGGCAAATTCAAATTGGCACATCCACAGCTAATCTCAAACACTTTTCAAAAATATGGAGAAAAAAAAATAAGCCAAAACTGCATGGAAGATTCAAAGGCTATGAGACCTCTAAAATTGTGCAGTTTCACAATGAAAGCCTTTTACATATAGAGAAAAATATGAGTTTATTCCCGGTATTGAACCTTTGCTTGAAAACTCCTAAGTCCAATTGAATAAGCCGCTCCATAAAATGCAATAGGATTTTCTGTATTGCATATTGTTCTGAGAGAGCTGCTGGCTGGGTAGGCTTATTAGGTGCAAAACTCTGCACTAAAGCTTTTTAAAGCAAATCATATATTTTATAAGTTCAAATAGAGCTTATATGCCTTTGCATGCCCTATAAATCAGCTAAATGTTTAAGTTAGAACTTCTAAGTCTCAGGTACTTCATCCTTGACCTGACGTAGTAGGAAGCGTTGTTTTATGCATGCCCTGACTTGATTCTCAATCAAGATATATATTTGGGTATATTTACTATTGCTACCTTCTGGCTCTGCTCTGTTCAGTAATTCACAGTCAACAAAAATCATCTTGAGCTATATAACTTCTATATTAATTTTCCGAGGTGCACACTCTATTTTCTCTCCTTCTGAGTGTGTGTATTTATAAGGTGTCCTGATTTTATCCACAGGACAGTAAGCTGGCTATTTTCAATTCACAATGTGGCATTTAGATGTATTCTAGAATGAGATGGAGATCACGTTCTGAGTACAGTAAAACCTCTACTGCTATCTTTGACACTCCCCACTTCCCAAAAAAAAAAAAAAAAAAAAAAAAATAGAGTCTGAATGTTTCCTCTGTAAAAAGCATTACCTAGAATATCCTCGGCTTACTCTAAAAGCACCATATCTCCAAACAGAGTTCAGACTTCCTCCAGGTTCTCAGGAACAGGAGGATTTTTTTGGCTGTCTGAAAGAAGCATGAGGGCTTTGTGTTATGCTTTTGTCACCAAGTAGAGTTTGTGACCGAATCGCTGTCAAGCATACTTGTTTAACAAATTGATATATGTGCAGTTATTTTCCCTTACTGGCTTTTTTCTCTATGGATCATTAGTTTAAAAGTAAATTGGAGGTTGCTTTATTAATGCAGGTTTTCAAAACTCCAGTTCTCCAGACATGCTGGAATGTGCTTCCTTTCTACTTCAAGTACAAGCAAAAAGACCTGTCCACCTAAATGTAAAATAAAACTGTGTAATCAGTGAGAGTTTTATCTTCCAATGTAAAGTATGTTGTCATGTAAAATATCTTTTTTCCATGATTATTTAACACAATTAAATGGGTCTTGTTTCAGGCAGGTCATATGGTTTATTACTTGCAGTATAATGGGGGCACATGTGATTGTTATGTATTTCATCTGCTGTCACTGAATTGATTTCTGTAGTATTTTTTCTTCTGCTGATTTGTTACTGGATTGTAATAAAATTCTATAATGTGGATATATAATATGACTGTATGACTGGTTTAGCTTTACTGGTCTTTATACCAGTTATGAAGTAGATTACTAACACTAAAGTATTTTAAGGCTTGTAAGGTCTAATCATAATAAGTGTCTTGATTTGTTCAAAATGTTTGTTTTCTGCTTTACAAACAGGACATTTTTAAATAAACTTAGAATATTGATATTTACATTTGTTGGGATTTAGTTTTTCGTGCTTGAACGTGCATTTGTAGACTGTCCAAATCAGGAAAAATTGCTGATAGAACTTGAGATCTTAGGTTGTGAAACTCTTAACTACAGTTAACACAATTTGTTTCTTGACTGAGATGATTGGAACATTTCCCATACTCTTATTCATTTCCCAAATGAATTGGGGGTGGGGGCTATTTAAATTGCTGCTTTAATTTTATGTGACTGTTACAAAACATTTTTGGACACTTTGTATCTGTTGCATTTCAGTGTTATCCCATTTTTATCTGATAGTACACCCATTTCTTACAGCTTGAAATGGTTAAGAAGTGCATATAAGTAGAGAATTAGGGTGAGATCAAGTATTATTTTTAAATTGAACGTGTTTGTTGCGGACAGGTCCATAAATCTGTTACAAATTGGTGCTTCAGTCTGGGAACAGACCAAGACCTCTCTGTCACCAGCAGCAGGAGAATTTCCTACTCCCGGTCTTACCTGCCTCATTAGCGGAATTTGGTGGCTCATTCAGCCCATCCAGCTACAGCACTGTTTGAGTAAAATCCTAAACTGAAGGTCAGCTGCCTTACAGATAATATGGGTCAAGGTACCAGGGTATTTCCAGTCATATTCCAAGGTGGCATGTCTTCTGAGGAGATTGTGCTGTCAGCTCTTCTTCCCTTTTCAAGGCATTTGCAGAGCCTGGCACCACAACAGGCTTCAAGGAGTGAGCTAGGCCAAGAAGAGCCAGAGGCAAAAGAAAAGAGGAGCCATGTCCAGACAAGCGTGGATGTGCAGTACATGGCGCTGCAGACCTATCTGCAGCGCCACACGCTGCACATGCAGGGAGATTCTGGGGTCAAAAAAACCCACACCAAAAAAAAAAAA